AGTCTCAAATCCCAAAAAAACTCAAACAACATAATTATGCCTCGAGATCTTCCTGATGGGATTCAGGGCCATGAAATCCCTAGTGGGCCACAAGAGCCAGGCAACTTCAGGGTTTCAGGTGAAGTCCCGACCCCAAAACGCAGGACCTGACGGCCGAAAGGGGGAGCCAAACGCGCAGACGCCGCTGGAAGACGCTGGAAGACGCAGCAGCGCGGGGGGATGGGGGGGGCGCGGGGAGGGCGCTGGAAGGTTCGGTGCTGGATGCGCTGGTTGCCCAAGAACCAGATGGTCTAAGAGCCCCAAGAACGTCCAAGACATATTGTTTTAGTGAAATATCGTGTAGACTGCAAAAAGCCTTCGAACCCTCAACGCTTAATTGGTCTTTACCAAAGAACCATTGCTTTTTAAGGATGTTGGACTACACAAAGAGGTCTTCCGGTCTTCCCCTATTCAATTGGCCGGTTCCTACAGGTGGTGCTGGAGATGGACAACTCCATGTGGGGCGTGAAGATCGTTTAGCCGAATCTTTGGGGGGGCAGGTACGATAGATGACAGGAAGGGTGTGGCCCAAATTAGTATAGCAACTAGCAACAGTAAACTAGATGTAAGAACAACTATCACTACTTTAGAGAAAGGCCTGCAACTGAACTATTCATCATCCACTGTTGCTGGAAATGGGATATATGCGAACATACGCAAGATGGCATCACTTTAGTGGCTGAATCAAAGATTCTTTGAACACGTTCACATATTGAAGCTGCGACAACTAGGGAAGATTCTGGAACGAACACCAATGCGAACGATGCAGAAAAAAACGAGGAAAGGAAGCTGTGCCGCTTTTCACAGTAGGTGGCATTTGAATGGAACACAATGGAACATTAGCTGATAATTCCGTTGACTTCTCCTGTGTACTGGCTATGATGTCAGGTGTTTTATGTTGAGACCATTTTTGACCCACCCACCCCTGTTTGCGGGTTCGATAACCCGGAGGAACAACCGAAAAAGATGCTGGATCATGTGTAGCTGGAAGGACCATGATGGACCAACAGGAAACTATTTGTTAACATGGATCAACATTACTTCTTGGAAACATGCCCCGCAAAATTGCCAATGCTGTTCATTTTTGTCAGTCTGACAAATTTGTTGTCTGACCAATTTGCTGGGATGGCTTTTCTCTCATCATACGCGTGGATCGCTTTTTCCCATATTTGCACTGCTCACCAGGCTCACCAATCCATGACATTCGAGCGAGAGAATCCCACAGAATCACCGAGAAGTCCAAGTGGACATGTTGCAACACCCTTTGCAGGTCTTTCAGGCCAGGTCTTCCAAAACCAAGCTTTTGGAACAACCCCAAGGTGTTCACTCCTTTTCACTGTTTGTCAGACCATTCTTCTTTATAGTCTTGGACTCCCAGAGTATACAAATAGCGATGGCCTCCACCCTAGTAGCGATGGCCTCCAACCTAACAGCGGTGGCCTCCAACCTAAGAGCGAATCAAGCTGTTCCAAAAAGGCCCATCTCATCCCTACACGACACGACGCGAACGTCACACGTCGCGTGTCGGTCGCGTGGTTCGTCGCGTTCGCGTTCTTGAGGAAGGAGAGATCCCTGAGTCGACGGAGGCAGCAGGTGGGGGATCCTTCCTGTGTCAGACTTGGGACTTTGGTGGGAAGAAGAGGTGGCCAGACTCAGGTCCAGACTTGCAAGCATTGCGACATGCCGCGCACATCATGCCAAAAGAATATGTTTTGAAAGTCCTATTCGCACACCTTCAGAAGTTCATCGCTGGATTTGTTTGGATCTTGTTTATATTAAGTTATAAGGGTTATTGTCAAGTCTTTCGACGGATTCTTAAACGTCAAAAGATGTGGAGCAAAAGGCTTTTGGTGAGCTCCAGTGGTTGCTGTGGGCGGATGTGGGTGGTTTTTTTGCATGACACAAGTCTACAAGTCGTTGAAAGACTTCCCTGCAGTTCTCCGAGTTCGATCAGCTTCTTTGATGGACGTTTTGGCTATCAGCTACAGTGATGTTTACATTATCCTCCTTCAGTGCACTTGTTCACATTCCTCAAAGGAACACACATCTTGGCTGTGGGGACTGGTCCCACCCTGCTCGTGTTCAGTTCAAAGCATGCTGAGACATTTAGCATGGGAATGGTCCATGGGGGTTCCATGTAGTATGTGGACTAGCTCTAATTGGTGCAATGATCCTGTGTTTCGCCTCCGAGCTAACACTCACAAGGCTTTGCCAGAAACATGAAGCAAAAGCCACATCAAGTGTTGCTTCAAACGTCTTCAGACCCTGATCTGGTTCATGCCATCAATGTCCAGGTCCCTCCTGGAGATATTCGCAAGCATTTCGACGCGTCCAAACCTGGTGTTCCAAACCTTCCGAAGGAATCGCTGCGTGGGCGCTTCCTCCCCTCCTCTCAGCCCCCAACCAAACGCGCTTCGGACATCGCCACCGTCCGTCACTGAGGTGGAGACCTCCACGAGTTCATCGGAGGCGGCCAAGTGTTGGCAGTGGGCCGGATGTAGGCCTTTTGTGGCAGCAAGCTTCATTTGTTACTGTCCGCTCTCTCCGTTTTTTGCCCGACGAAACTAGCTGCACCGTACATGAGTTTCTTGCTGCTGGAACCTCTTTTTCCCCTGTCTCTCGCCTGTACAGTCTTACAGTGAGACAGACCTTATCATTCCAAGTGATGGCTTGGAAGAGGCCTTGGCACTCCACCAATTCGATGAGTGCCACGTTTGACTGACTGTCTCACTTGGTGTTTTTTTTCATGTTTGACAGGTCTCACTGTTGTTTCAGATGTTCAAACTACAGAGAACCAACCAGGCATACCTTGGCAATCTGGTCTCAGAGAACCATCGGGTCTCAGAGGGTGACGTTGCGTCCACGGTGTAACCCGCAGTCGTGTGGGTTCGATCGCGGTGAGAGGGAGGGGAAGGGCTGTTGAGAGCGTAGAGGGAGAGCGTAGAGATCAACAGGTCTGGCGCCAGTTTTGGGGGGATGGAGATCTACTTCATAGGCTTAGCCAGCAAATTCTGGGAATGTATGTCCTATGAAACCTGCAACCAGGTCAGCCTGTCTTCCCGCTCTGGACCTTCCAGGTGACGAGCCCTGGCCAGAGGCCACCATCGTTCCAGCGAAGGCGCAGCCATGGGCAGATGGAGCTGTGGGACGATGGTTTTTGCTGTAGAGGATACAGTAGTTGGACCCTGTTGCTGCAATCTCCGTTGCCACGTCTCAAAAAAACCGGTGACCAAGGACTAATACCCAGACACGACACATGGGACTGCCAGTTCGGACTGCCGCCCCAGACAGACCCCCTTTCAACCAACCACCCCTGGCCGTTTCTCGGCATATCTGGCAGTCCCAAACGGGTCGTGTTTGGGTATTAGTCCTCATAACTGACCGAACCCACCTCGGCCGCCTCAACCGAGCGACCGTTGGTGCCGTCGGGGCGGGTGACCTGCAGCTGAAAGAAACCAAGAGATAGGACCTCCAAGGACCTCCATAGGACCTTGCTTTCCTAAGTGACCTCCATAGGGACCTTGCTGGGCTACCTTTGGGATCGTCTGGATCCTTCAACCTAGCAGGGAGGAGCTTTAGACCTCCCCGGTGGGGTCTGGGAGGTTTGGGGATGGAGAGTCATTATATATTGAGAAAGCAGATATGGGCGGGTTCCGGGTTCTCGCTTCAAACACAACATGAACTTCCCTGACTCTGGAACTGATTGTCATGATTCGTTGTGGAACTTATTGTGGCCCCGATCAGGCTAAGATTGGCTTCCTTAAGAATTCTTCGCCTTCTTCGCCTCCAGCCCAGCCCAGAGAATCGCCTGACATCATTGGCCTCCAAACAAAGAGAACCTGACGATGTCACGGGGGCGAAGCAGGATCTCGGAAGCTTCAGTGGAGACTGTTCCCACGATCCATTCTGACGCACGTTCCGATCCCAGATCCGAACCGTTCACGGACGTTCTCCATGACTCGTTTCGGTATATGGTCCAATTGTAGGTGAGGTTATAGGGAACAAACCGGAGCTTGGGTGGTCCAGCCGCAATTAAGGGAAGATTCCACGAAGCTCCATGGAGCTTGGTCGACTTTGGTGAGGTGAATTCAGAACGTTCCATGGAGCGATTTAGAGCTACTTTGGTGCTTCACCCCACACACCACACACTCCACCCAAATCTGCTATGTGGGTCCCTTAACTGATCGTCCCTTAACTGATCAATTGGAGCAACACAATCTATGTCGACCTCCAATCGCTCGGCGGGCGGGTCCGGATCGGAAACCAAGCTTTGCCATATTGGTTCGGGCATCTCCTTCTGCTTCTTTCAGATTCATTCATGTCTCCCAAGCGCTGGTTCGTTTCAGAGGTTGATATCATTCGTTTCATTTCTCCTACACCAACTGATTTGGAAGGATTTGCTACTCATCAGCACAGGGAAAAGTCACAAGAAACTTTAAAATTACTTAATATAGACTGTATATATATAAGTTATAAATTACAGTTGCACGTTTGAACGATTGAACCATCCTGATCAACAAATGCATTGGACGTCGTGAAAAGGTTCTGCAATTACTGTAACGACTGTGACACATAATATATATGTCCATATCTCACATGCTGAGTTCTGAGCTTTGACCAGCGGGTGCCGTGAGCCGGGCAATTCGCAGCCAACTTTTCTCAAGCTGATTCTGCTATGCGACGGTCAATCACTGACACTCGTTGGAGACGGTCAAGTCCCAGAACTTTGAACGATAGGACAAAGTTGTGAGATCTTCCCAATTTTCCATGCCCGGAACAGATGAGAGTCCGTCGTCGTTTCCTTCGGCCCTCAGTCCTTGAAAATGGCGAGGATTTCAATACTCCTGCATACAGAATCCTAGAGATCTGTTTGATGACTGTTTTGATGCGGAAAAAGATCCATTTCGAGAAATCGAAAGTATTTGGGCCATCCCAAAATAGAAGTGACTGAGGTTTCTATCCTGCAAGGTCCATAGGACCGAAATCGGGTCCCGCCGCGTCAACACGGTGCCGTCAAGCGCCCGCCATGATCGACTATGGCGCCAAGAAAGGGAACCTTTGCCGGATTCCAATGTGATGGGTCGTGGGGATGGATTCAGGGAATGGAGTCCAGTCAGATGTACCCAGAATCGAGGAAGACGAGTCGTTTGTACATGATGGGAAGTTTGGGAAGACGAGAAGGCCTTGCACACTTGCCCGGATGCTGTCTAATGGTCAGAGCATGGTGTGGACCAAGTATGTGGCGCGATCGTAGCGCGACGTAGCTCTATCATTGGATGGTGTTTAATGGTTTGAATCATGAAGAGGTCTTAAGGGCCAATAATGGTATGTTACATATGGATTGTCGGGGAGCGTGTCGACCCCTGTGCAATGTGAATCTCAGATGGACGAGTGAAGCCTGGGCTCAAGGGCTGAGGTGGCAGAAGACCCTTTTGAAGAACGTATAGCGTACTTAGGGGATCCAGTTACGCTGTTAAGTAGTGGTTCCACAGACAAAAGCCACAGACCGAACGAAGTCATGGTTCCTTATATGGTTGTAACTGGGATCCTCTTTGCTAGCCTTCTGTTAGGCCACATACATCATGGGGAATGACCTGCTTTTGTCGTGTAAAATCCTGAGAAAACAATGTTGGTTCGATATAGAGTTTACCATTAGAATCAATGGTGATTGGACGCTATTTGTAAGATATACAGGTGCTCTACATGGATTGAAGGAAGCGGACTGTCTGATCCAGGACAGATCCAGGCAGTTTGATGTCGACCGAAGATGATCGAAAGATGATCTGTTTCACTCGGTTGATATCATATAATATAATGTTTTCACCCATCAAACTGGCGATCCCAGATGCTGCCCTAGAAGTCCAGTTCGACGATATGTTGACCGACTGAAGTAAAGGAAGCTCCCTGACTCAGGCCCCCTAAAGACAGTTCTTTTCATAGTCTTTGACTCCCACACCTTGATTGAAACGAGAATGATTTGTTGCAATGTATTTACCCGGAGTGAACTTATTCGAGCTTTGGAGCCCTTTAATTGGCGTAATTGGTACCCAAATCTGCCGCAGAGTCCAACCAGTCGCTTTGGTGAACAGCTGAACTCACTTCTGAGCTGCTCGAAACTATAGCTTCACATACAGCCAGCTGGCGCGCCGATCAGTTAAGATGTGAGTTGCAAAATTGACCAAACACTTGGGGAGAAGACCTGCCTCATCTACTGGAGTCGGCGACCCCGTTGAAATCGCCTGTATGATTCACCAAAACATACAAAAACCAAGTGACGACCCATGGACGTGGTTTAGAATGCAAGTTCCACGATCCCCCCAGGCACCCGCAGGCCCAGGTGCTGGTTCATTCAGTTGTTGGATTAACCTTTTCATGTTGCTAGTATAGGGTATATATAGGTAACGGTGACAGGTTGATTTGTTGGAACATCGAGTCATGTTGCCAGTGGTTGTGGAGATTGTACCCTAGGGTAGATTCGCAGTCGAAATATATGCAACAACAGGCAGGCAGGAAGGAAGGAAGGAAGGAAGGAAGGCGCCCTCTCGTTTCCGGAGCGGACGGCCGCTTTTGCATCCCAAGGGATCCGTTTTTGTTGCTTCTCAGGGATGGCAGACATGGGGATGGTTTGCAGGTCCAGTCGTACCGAACAAGGTACGACTGGATCTCCAGGGGAGAGGTTCAAGACAAACATTTTGTGGGTGCTTGGTGGTCCAGAGGTCACCTTGGCGCCTAAAAAGGCACCTATAAGTGGCCTGCCATGTACTGTGTGGGAAATCGTTGGACCGCACCAGAGGGGCTGGCCAGTAGTGAGCAGAAATCACGCTGTATGGAAGCAGATCTGCAACGAGAAGATATTGCAACATGCTATCCTATCTCCAAAACGGACCAAACAAACCCTGGGATTCCAACCACCATTGATTTAATGGCTTGTACATGTTTGTACCGAAGAATCGTTGTTTTACTAAGAATTTTACAAACCAAATCAACCATTTTAAGCATGGTCTTAGACCTACGAGGGACACGAACTGAAACAAGTACGACGACACAAGTAAGAGCCCCTTCACGAGCACGTGCCCCGCGAATCCGCGAACGATGCGACGGCACAACGTGCCGGACGGGAGCATTTGGCCGCTCCGAAGAGGACATGGGAAGAGGAACCTTCCAAGTGACCTCCATGGAGTCTTTCAGTGACCAGGTTAGCCCAAGCGAAAAGTTGTGTGCCTTACTTAGGCCTCACAGCCGCGTGGATGAATCTATGTATCTCCGCTTTGCCTGACACACACCTGGCCCACCCTTTTTGCGCCAGGGAAGGGGCCAACTGTCAGCTGGTAACTGACAAGGACTCATGCCTTGAAGCTCGCCCGTGTACGAGTATTTTTTGCGCACCATGAGACACATGCTGACACCTCACATGTTGACACCTCTCATCCCAGTCCGCTGATGAGCGAAGCCCAATGACAAGATCGGTGCTGTCTTTGGCGCCCATTTTTCCGTCGACTTTCGACGAGTTGGTGCAGAGACTCACTGTGGTGGGACAACACCTGCACGTCCGCCACAGGTCCGCCACCTACAGGTCCACCCCCTGCTAAGCCACCTTTTTGTGTCTCGTGTGATGCTCAGGCAACCCAGCTGGTTTTTAGCCTTTCAACTCACTGGAAGCGTGTTTCCACACTGCCGGGGCACTCGGACTTGACGTCGTCTTCTGGCGATGGGTGTGCGAAGTCTGGATTGGCTTCACAGCGCACACGTTCTTGGTGCCCAGTCCACATGCAATATCATCCATTTAAAAAAATATTTTTTTTCTTTCCATTTCTAGCACTTTTGAAGAACTCCAGGTATACAGGCTCGTCTGGCAAGAAAAAGAATAGTTCACAAAAATATCCTGATGAAAACATACATGAAGGCTGTGGGAGTCGAAGCAGCACTTTGGATCACACAATTTAATGACAGCCGCAAGACGGGCATGGAGGATTCCATACTGATTTCAATTTCATCGTTTTTATTTCATTTTATGTTTAGTTGAATTTTCTCCAATTACAAGGGAAAGTGGGAGTTGATTTGTCTAATTCCGTTTTGATAGCATGAACTAATTGTAAGGTGCGCTCATGGATCTCCTCAGTTGCCCCTGGAAATTCCGGACCCATATAAGTTGACTTTGTAGGAACTGAATCGACTGATTTGTTTTCTGAGGTGATGCCTGTTCACAAAACAAGCAGAGTCAGGGGTGACGGAAAAAAGGAAAAAACGAAATGAATAATAAATTTATTGTTTGTTTTTGCTCTTTTCATGGAAGAATCAACGATCGCAAGAACCGTTCCTTTGGGAAGATCTCGTGATTCCTGGTGTTTTTTCGAGCAGGTCGACTGCAAGGGTACACGGTTTTGGCGGTTCATTTGCAAGCACGGTCAATATTCTAATTATGGATAATATGATATTACTTTGTAAGAGATCTAGAAGTGAAATGAAGTGAAGATGTTTGAATGCTTGAAGACACCAATTACCATAGAAGGCGACACCATTTAAACCATGTTCCATAAGAAAGAGGTTAAACAACGAAAACCTCAATCCAACCAAAATCAGAGGGGAAAAAATCGAACAAGAAAAAGACTCCGAGGTTTCTTGATCGTCTTCCCCATTTCCGTTCTCTCACTGGTGCTCAAGATCCTCCATGATCAAAACGTCTTCGGCGAGGGCCACGAGGTGGCGACGACGTCGGACGAACGTCCGCGGACGAGTGCCGAACCCGAGCATCTGAAGACCGATCAACCATCAGGACCGGATGTTGTCTACATGCGTACCCATACCCAGACACGACCCGTTTGGGACTGCCATAGGACTGCCTATACATTGAGGTGGTTGTTTTGGGGGTCAATGGGGCGGCATATATCGCATATATGGCAGTCCCAGACGTGTCGTGTCTGGGATAGGGTCCAGGTACCTCCGTACGAAACGGATGTCCGAGGCCTGGCTGGCCCCCAGCAGGCATCGACCCTTCTCTGGAAGTACTTTCATGAACACTCACTCACCTCCGTTCGACCAATCGAAATGGATCCCCCAAAAAACCATCCAAGGTATCTCACTGAGTCTCACTGAGTCTCGCCCGTTTTTTCCTCTGAAAGGAAGTCTGAATCTAACTCTTTCATGGAAAACCAATGAAGGAGACTAGGTGTTTGACTCTTTCATACACTAGGGCCATACACTCGGTTCATACACTCGGATTAGGGAAGTATCGAACCAATGAAGCAATGAAGGTGCACCAGGGCCCGTTTCCCCCAAGCCATCGAGTCGCTCCACGAGGTTCTTCGCTGGTTTTGCTGAGGTGACCTTCGCTTAGGTTCTTCATGTGGGTAACCCGGTAACTGGCTGTGTGCACGTGGGGTTCTTTGTCCACTCTGCTGAGTTTGATGCTTTTCACTGACTCTCCGAAGGTAATACTATGGAACCTTTACCCCGCAAAGGATGGTTTCTGAAGATACCATGGGAGCAGCGCCGTAAACCTCCCTTGGTCTCAGCGTAAGACTTCCCATACGACCTTTCAATCTATCAAGGTTTCCAGCACAGCTCATGGGATTGTGAACGCCAACGTTGGGGACCTGTACCAGGCGAAAAGGATCGAATGGAATCAGGTCTGACCTGCCGATGTGGAGATGTTCAGCGCGTGCGGACGCGGACGTGTGGTGTGACATCCATCGGCATATTGACACGTTTGTAACCTCTCAAAGCCCAAGTGGTAGAGGAAACTCAGTACGTTTGACTCATGCCCAACTCACTAAGTCACCCTTATCAGCACTCATCATGGAGGGATCAAAAACATTATATTTAAAAAACTCACCTGAAAAGGTTTGGATCGAACCAATCCCCAGGTGTTGAGGGACCTTGAACCTTTGAGATTGGCAGATTGGTCTTTGGTGAGAGTCTCTATCGGCCCAGGCCTCTGGCTCATGGACCCTCCGTTTGGGCCGGACCTTGGCAACCCTGAAATCCCTAGGCCCAAAGAGCCCAGACAGGACCATTTCAATAGGAAAAGACCCGGAAAACCGGGGTGTTTCGCTGGGCGTTTGAAGCAGGATGTGGTGACGGGCTTCTACTTCCTGTCAGATGGGGCTCCCTGGGGCGGCCCCTTCGAAGCATGTGGAGAGAGCGACGGGGCCAGAACATGAGAGCCGTGGGCGACTCAAGGGCTTTGTGGTGCCCAAGAGGGAAGAAAACTCTCACCCAAACCCCCAGAGCCCCCAAATCCCCACACAGACCTTGGAGGACTCCGACTTGGAGTTAGGACCTCTCACCATGAACCCCACAAATCCATTCCCAAAACCCCCCCTAAACTACAAAAGGATTTGATCTCCTCCTCCTCCTCCTCCGGATCCTCCTCGAAGCCAGATCCTTCGTCTCCGTCGTCTCCGAGGCTTCAGCGGCTTCGTCTCCTTCGTCATCGTCTTCCGCCTCTCCGCTGCTTATTCCACCTACTGGCGCCTAGACCGCCAAGCAAGCATGCACCGGGTCAGACCGGAGTGAACGAACAGCGGGGTATATATGAAAAAGGCAGTTGAGGCGCTAAAGGATTCATGAAATGGTGGGTTTGGTTGATGCTTTCAGTAGGGGGATGGATTGGGAAATAGAGAAGGCTATGACGGTTATGATGGATTGTAAGATGAGGATGAGCAATGATGTTTGATGAATTTTGTATCCATCCAGGGGCTAGTGGAGCCATGAAGGGGGTCCATTACAAGCTGAATTGATCAGACATTCTGGGCGTATCATGGTGCACCCGATCATTCATCAAGGTGGCCATTCCTTCGACCAGACCCCCTCCTCAACCATCAGACTCCACACCCACCCAAGTCCCCCTGCTATTTGGTCAGCCAGATCACCTCATCCTGGCACTCCCCCAAAGAAAACTCAATGCCGCCCTCCACACTCACCACAGGGTGCGAAAAGAAAAGAGAGAGAGAGAGAGGGAAACACCCACTCCTCAACAGTGGTGGGTGGACAGGTCGAAAACCTCCATCTCATCCGGCTCGAAACGAAAACTGCCAGTTTGGGCGGTTCTTACATGGAAGAATAGATAGTCAAGGGGTCTGCCGGGTCCTGCTGGCAGGTCCGCTTACACCACGGCCAATGCCTTCCTGGGCGACTGGTCCGGTGCCGCTGCCTCGGCGGTGAGCTGCTGCCGTGGCTCCAAATGTTCTGACGCAAAGGTCGAGGACGGGGGGGATGGGAGGGACCAACAGAGGTTGAAGGAGCCTATAAGGTCCCCATACCCTATAGTACCCACTGGGACCCTATAGACTATAGGTACCTTAGTGGGGTCCTAGTTCAGCTCACTTAACCTCTCTTGGGGGGGGCAGCCGGGTGCAGGGTGCAGGCACGACACATGAGAGAGGCGCTCCTTTTTCATCAAGTTTCTGGGGCTCCTCACATGGAAAGTGGAGTGGAAAACCCATGAGAAGACCTGTTTGGTATAAAAGACCATTCACTTGGAGCCATGAAGACCATTACAGTGGGAAATCCTCATGGAAAAAACTGCTTGGTACTTCCGAACTCGGGGCCATCCACGTAACCACGATGTGAGTTTCAGGGAGTGTAGCCCACACCAGGTGGAGCGGTCTTCGTGTCAACCTCCCAAGGGCCCCGTGTGGGAGGTAGAGGCACACTGCGATCTTCAGGGTGTACTTCCAGATGAACATGGAACCCCAAACCCACTGAGTCGTAAAGGATTGCATGATATTGCATGGTATTCCACGGGTCTGTCTTTCTCAGTTTCCATGTGGGTCTGTTCCAGGGTGACTTCCGAACTTAAGAGACCCTGAACAGATGCAGAATCCAGAGGTGTTTGCTCCAGCCAAAAAAACTCCCGTGGGGAGGTGTGTCTTTGACTTTGAGTGAGTCAGATGCAGGGAAGTTTCCAGCGACTAGTGCTCACCAGGGATGTTGACGGAGATGCATGTGCTGGCCCACCATATTATGTCCCACAGCTTTCATACGTGCTGTATGGTTGCATAACATGTATACACGATTCACACTTGTTGACGATATCTATATCATAGAACCAGTTCTGTTGTCACAATACGAGCCTGTTGTTGTTGTCACTAGCACTAGCAATACAGTTTGCCCCCCAAGACCAGACCCCCCCATGTCCCGAAACTCTATCGCACCGCGCCCCGTGTCCCGTGTCCCAGTCAGAGCCAAGGAGGGACACTTCGATCAACCCCAAGAACCCGAGGTTCGGACCTTCTCCCTCTTCACTGGTGTCCGGACCTGGTCTTTGTCCACTGTGTGTCTGAAATAGGGTATATACCATGGGTATACAGGCATCACAAGGAACACTTGAGATCAAGAAAAACGTGTCCTCCAACTTCTGGCAGGAACTTCCTCCTTTCATTTCGCTGAATCTGATCATACATATCTTCATCTTCGGATCGAAACTCCTCCACTGCCCACTCCTCCTTTCGCTACCCGTCGTCTCCACACGTCGTCTCGCCCTGCGGGAGGTCTTTCTGCACAAAGTGATCCGGCTGTTTAGCATGCTGAGCGCCTGTGCACTACAGGAGATGAGAAGATGAGACGATGAGCCGGAGAATACGTTGAGTCAGTCCCCGGGAGGAGGTAGTCCATGTAGTCCCCAGTGTGTCTCACCGGTGTTGTTGTTGTTTTTTTGGTTGGGGAACGGGAGAAGCGGAAGAGCGGATCAATTGATAGCGGAGAGCGGATCAACTTGCTAGTACTACTCCGAAGTGAGTGCCATTCTGTGTTGATGTCTTTTTGATGGGCTTGGAGGCAGGGATGTGATATGTGATGCAGGTGTTGGTAAATCATAAAAGAATAGAAAAGAAGGAATTGAACAGATATACATTTGGAGAAGACTAAAAACATCTATCTAAAAACAAAAGATTCCATGACATTATGACATTTCTTCAGTTTGCACTGAACTCACTGACTTTGACCATCAGCCAAGCTCCCCGCAGATTTGGAGCCGCAGGAGCTCTCGCCCCGGAAGTCGCATCAGGCCGAAAGTGGATCGGTGTCGTTGCGAAACTCGGGCAACTCGGGAAACTCGTGGGGCGGTGAGTTGCGCGGATTTGTCCGGTGATTCGGATGGTTTGAATTATGGCGGTCTACTTCTCAGGGGTGTTTCCTCTTCAGGGCTTGATGAGGTTCTGTGACTGCAAGTGTTGCGTTGGGGATGGATGGCTGCGTCGAAGCGTCAGATGTGCAAGTTGGCATGTGTCGGACTGACGACTCACGACGAATTGGAAGGCAAGGTAACCCAAACACGACACATGGGACTGCCATATTATGCCGATCAGGCCAGGGGTGGTTGGTTTTGGGGGTCAATGGGGCGGCAGTCCTATGGCAGTCCCATGGAGTGTTTGGGTAAGGCATCGCCCTTTTTTTAAACGCATTTAACAAGGCTTCTTCCGTGGCTGACGAAGTTTCGATACATGACAGCAGATAATTACTCCTCAATCACGTGTGCCCAGCTTCACTCCACTCCTGATCTTGGGGGTATACCTATCAGGTCAAGTATCCCTCAAACATGTAGGCCTTGGGGGTTCGCGGTCTTTCGAAAGAAACGGAACCGGTCAATTTGTTCTCGGCGTGGATCTCCGCATCGAAGCCTGGGTCGACCGAAACGTAGTGCCTACAGGTCAGAAACTGACCGCATGTTCAGCTGGACTTGGTCATATAAAAACATGACTGAAGGAGGTCAAAAACCAGGTTTGGACAGTTTAGACCTGGATCGGAGTGGACTCGTAGGTAGTGGTTTGTGACCCTGGCCACTCATGCATGGCGACGAGCTTGAGTTGATTCTCAGAGACGGTATTGTTTAGATAATTTTAGATATAGGTTGCTATAATTAGGGTCTGTCCTAGTACCTGTAACAGTCAGTAAACAATTCTTGATTATTACTATTTTCGAACAAGGCCTTTGCTAACCATCATCATCCCACTGTTACAGGTAATAGGATAGACCCAAGCGTTAAACATCCTACTTGTAAAAATCCTGAGAATCCACCTACCCTAGAAGGAAGAGTCAGGTAGGTTCATCAGGAAGTTTGTTGGATCATATACCTTCGGAGTCCAGTCGTCTATAAAATGGTCTTTATGTGACACCAGTCTAGGAATGTCCTTTACTTGAGTCTTTGGACTTCTGGGGTATATACAGTATATCTTATATTGAGGTGTCCTTTCTGGGCGTGTGAAAAAAACAAAAAATATATTTATATTGTTCCATTCAACTAGAGTTGGGCCATGATGAGCCCTGCGATGCAGGACGCAGGTTTGCAAAAGGGGACCACTGGTCTTGTTCACTGCCCCTAGTGTGAGTGTAGATAGAAACACTGTAGGATTCCAACGACCATTGATTTAGACATTCTTACCAAACATTCATCTTGTTTTATTAAGTGTTTTAGACACTGAAAGCAGGTCAACCACTTTGCAACTGGTCTTGGAACGGAGGTGCCCATGAACCACCCCTTGGTGACCCTTTGGCCCCTTCCAAGTCCTTTTCCCACCCGTTTCGCAGGCTTTTTCCTCCTTTGTGGCCCGGCAGCTTCTTCCAGGTGTGGGGCCTGTTGACCTTGAATTCCGTGGGAATCGATGAGAAGTCCCTGGCCTATTTGGATGGCTCCAACCAACGCGCCACTCGGACGATGTAAACCGTTCCGCCCGAAGGCCGTGTTCCGAAGGCCGTGTTCACGTGTGGGGAAGACCTGCACGGGGCAGGAATCACTGGGAGCCAGAAGTCTTACCACTGGAGACCTGCTGTCACGGCATCCGAGCGCGACGCCTCTTGCACCATCAATGAGGAGCCGGAGGAGGACATCCAGGTGCAGGACGGCCGCGCAAGCATGCCCGCAGGCAGCACTGAAATCAGAACTTTGCTGTCCTTCCTCCAACTTACATTGTTGGAGAGCTGCTGTGGCTGTCCACCCGGACTCGCCCAGACTTAGCGTTCGGAGTCTCAGTGCAGGTCACGCCCACGCTGACACTCTCAGATGCCAATGGACAGAGAGCCTTTGGTCGATGCGTTTCAGGGCCTGCGCTTCATCATCGGCCAGCGGCCAGATGGTCGTGTTTTTGGATGTCCTGTGCCAACTGGAGTACGATTGTCTGTTGGCCCACACAGCTTCAGCATTCTCACCCGCAAGTCGTGGCCATCCGCGTTGGATCCCAAGTGATTTGGACCCGCAAGGCCCGCAAAGCGTGGAGGAGATCCCACACAGGTCACGGAGGTCACAAACCGTGAAAAGCAGCCAACGGTCAAGAAACTGCCGAAGCAGGGCGTGGAGGAGAAGCCGTGCGTAAAATACCTTGAGGACTTTTGGCTTGCTACATACTGATTAGTGGTAGCTGCGATTGGAGATGTTGCTATCGAATCGTTCCGTTTGCAGGGATCCTTTGTCATTGTTGCGATGATATGTACGGCTGAGGCTTGTGATAAGACATCCCCATTTTGTCGATATAGAGTCTAGAATATGTCTTGATCCCAAGTGTTTCAACGAGAAATCTGAGGCCAGTCAGACTAGAAAGCGCAATCCTGAAGACCCTAAAGAATCAGACTTAGCTCCAAAGGAAAGGGTTTCCCAGGTAGCTACAGTGGCTTTCCTCGAAAACCCTGGAGGTGAAAGATTTCTCTATATGCAGATATTTGGGACACTCCGGCCGGGGGTATGCTCTCGAATTTTTCGTTGAGATTAATGGAATGGATTTGGCAAGTGTCTGATTTTTCAGAGGGGGGCCCGGACTGTGTTATTTTCCTGACCTGTTGGATATCCAAACCAAATCCTATGCATCTAAAAAAGTTACACTCAACAAAATGGCGGATACAGTTGGCCAGGCTGTGTTCGCCAATAAATAAAAACAATAACGTTCTTTGGAAAGGAAAAAGGAGCGACAGTTCGACTTGAACCCGGACGGTCAGATTATTTCATGATTGTGTGATTATTTCGAGGTTGGACAGGTCTGATTCTTTGGTGTTCGTACTTTTGAACTAACTTTAAAGAGGTTTGTCTCTGATTCTTTATAGAGCAGCAGGCTGGCACAGGGTGGGATCTCTAAAAAATATAAATGTCCATGTAAAAGGTTGAATTTGCACAGTGATCATTTTGTCATATTATGCAATTGTCGTCTCCTTCTAAGACGAAACCTTGACATAGACAACGGAACAACAGGAACCAAAGGGACTTAGAGCCTCATCAATTGTTGTCTCCTGATCAGGTCTTTGTGATTTGCCTCTTTACTAAATGGATCACCTTCAACCCCATGAAATATGAACAGATCGAACAAAAATTAACGGTTTTTGTTTAAAGGGAAGCTGAATGTCCGTCAGAACCATTGACTTCTGATCCCTTCAGCCAGTCCTTCGGGGTTCAACCGGGTCCGCTGACCCGTTCACCGACCGGTTCACCTTGCCTTCTCAGGTGGACCTTTGCTATCACTGGATCCAACAGACCGTGGTGGACGCTCAAAGCGACGACCTCTTCGGCGTGCCGCCCCCCTTGGTGGGACGCATCCTGTCGCTCGGTGACGGACGTCGGTCGGTCCGGGGTCGTTGGTGGGACGAGGTCGAAGGAAATGGTGTCGTAGGTCGAATGACCTACGAGCAGTCCCAGTCTGATCGACCATTTCCCAGTCCAAGTCTGATCCAAGTCCCAGTCTGCGAGGTCCCAGTCTGATCCCTACTTGGTCTGCGAGGATCCAAGTCCAAAATCTGGTCGACTTGACCTCCTTTTAATACATGTAAGGTGTTTTTTTTGTATGACCGAGGTTAGTTTCTGGACCTGTAGCGAATGATAGCGAATGTATGCCTTACTAAAATGCACTTGAAAGATCACTGAAGAGGTTGAAGGTTTGGGGTCCAACTCTCCGACGGATAGGCAGTCATTAGTCCTTTTCCTTCTCTCAACGTACTACCTGCTAGACTACTTGGTGTCGTCTACTTGGCCCACCTAGACCTCCACCTCCACAACTGGTTCCACGGTTCCTTCCAAAAACCCTTTTCGATCGCCCACTGCTGTGGTCCCCCCAGGAACGAGCTCTCCAGCGGCATGGGAAAGTTCGGCGATGCCAAGAAGCCGCTGAACTCAACGCCACGCCCCGGATCGATCGCTCGGTCGAAGACGGCGTCCATCTCCCGGTCAAAACAGACGGGTTTGGAACGGAGGGTTCTTATGGCCTCATGGGCCGCATTATGGGGGGGGTCCATGGTTGGGCTTTGTTTTTTCAGGTCACTGAGCTTCCCAGATGTTGTGCTGCTTTAGTAGAACCTCCACGACAGGGGCCTTGGTAAGGGTATAGGAGCGCCATCATGCAACAGAAAGTTGTTTTGATCAAATATGACATTATCTATGGTTTACATTTCTACTATTCATGCAGTGCGATCTTGATGGCCTTGTGTAGCAGGTGGCCACAAGCGAGAATTGCAGCGGAGTCTATCTCGAACAGTTTGCATCGAACACAATGGCTACGGGTGGTTTTGTTCTGTGGTGGATGGCCAGAACTATCGGATTAGGAAGAATTAGGGAGAGGACTTGGATGCTTGCTCATGAAACCTGCGCTGGAGCTTGCTTAGTGGCATTGGAGATCTAGTGCTGTGGGACCAAACAATGTTGAGCGCTGGTGGGACAATATGATCAGCATTTGCCTTTTGGGAATTCGGGCTGACATGCAATTTCAGGCAGACTCCGCAAGTGATAGGAGTATACTTGTTGGCGAATTGAGAGCTCCATTAAACCTCAAGTCTTGGAAGTTGTGTTTTTCCCGTCTAGGATTTGGAGCACCTGGCAATTGGTAGTAGCAGCAGTGGGAATTTTCCTACAAATATAGTGACATTTGATCGCCTGCGCAGTTTGACTCCAAACAAGGCATGCGACGACACAGTTCAACTTCCCCTACGCACAGACCTGTAAGTGGCTGCTGATTCTCTACTCTGCTGCATGGCTGAAGGGCTAAAGCAGATGGCGATTGTTCCCATTGGATTGTGGGGAACTTGACAGGCAAAGTTGGGTGGGAGAGAAACCAGGATGCATGACGAAGGGCCCCTTGGTAAGAAACCAGTTTCTAGCTAAAGTCTACGTCAAAGGTCCATTTGACCTAGATATGTCAATGGCCGAATCACTCAATGACCTCCCAACTCCCAACATGTGCTTATAGCTTTGTTTCTATACTTACCCTGGGAGTCCAAGACTATTTTTAAAACGGTCTTTAGGTGATCCGAGTTCAGGAACTTCCTTTACTTGGGTGCCTAAAATCGTCGACCTGGACTTCTAGGGCTTAATCATGTGCTTAGCACGTGGCGAACCTTTGGGGCCGCTTCAGACCCCGGGGGCCTCGCTTCCGAGGTCTTGATGCCGTTGATGATGGTGCGCTGGTCCGTCGCTTCGGCCGAAGGGTTCACCGGGAAGGGCGTAAAGAAAGCGCTTTGACCCGGTTTATGGAGGTATTCAAGGAAGAGGTGCAAGACTTCAAGGAAGAGGTGAGCAAGACTTCAGGAAGGTGAAGGCTTTTTGAGCCTTAAGTCTGATTGTGCCCAAGTAAAAACCGCCGACCAAATCCATTGGGCTCCACTCGCGAAGTCTTTGGTCCTGTCATCATTGCCAGCATTGACCCCTACGAGGCAAAGACGGTGGAAGTCGAAGTCAAGACTATCGTCCAAGTTTTTGGACCATGTCTTGGAGACTGATCAACGGTACTTGCAGCTTCTCTTGCCCAAACGACCTAGTTGAGAAGTGGGACGAGTTGCATTTCTGGGACACCGCAGATGGGTGCCGAGCGAACGGAGGATAGGGATGCCCCTGTCACATCCACTCACTGGATGGGACTAAAACAACTCCTTTGGAACTGCTGGTCTGTGCGGTGTGTGTGTGTGTGTGTGTTTGCGTCCTTGTTGACATGTCCGTCCCACCTAAAGCTTCTGGGTGCAGGTTTTTCAAACACAATTGACCACGAACATCCTCCGCCACTTGCCCCACCAACCGCTGTAAATTTATGTTTGCCCTTTTCTCACCTGAATATATTAATATTGTGCATATTTTTCCGCGGAACATCCGCAGTTTTCACTGAGGATTGGGCCTCCGGTGCCTTCATCTTCACCTTCGTTCAGCTCTTTTTTATCTGGACTTTGGAGGTGGGGCTCCTAGGGCGTAGCAGGGCAGGGTCGCCGGGTGTCATCAGGCGTCCTCAGATGAATCTCGGTCATGTTCATGAGTTTTTGCCACCCTGGTGGCTGGTTTGTTTTTTTCTCCTGCACCTGACCCGAGTTGGTCTACACAGTCACTGTGAGCACCTATAGCCTGTCGGTCATGGATGTGAGCAAAAGAATGAAAAACAGAAACGTACCCGCTGGGCGTCTCTTTTGGGATTCCACTGTTCCACCATGTTCCACCTGTCATCTTGGAGAAAAGGTTCCCTACAACCGTACTTGTACCTAGCCTAGCCTCCATGGGATCGGAGCTTGGAATGTTAGGTGATTGTCTCAGCAGTCCAAAAAGATATGGTGGTTTCAGAGGTAGATGGCACCTGGCAGTGACCCCAAGTTTGGTGCTTTATGACCTCCATTTGTCTAGTCGACATGATCAAACACGTGCCATGTCTCACCTGCTTGCAGACACCGGTGTTCTCGAACCGGGTTGCGACGCGCACGCTGAGCCGCGCCGCGCCGCTCCGCGCCCGTCCAGGCCATTACGATCATTTTGGAGAATCCCTTCGACACTTCGGAGCCTCGTCGTGAGACGGTCTGGGGCGCCATTTTGTCTGATTACTTGGCTTTCAGAAGAGACGGTTTCAGATCCATGCTTAAGCAAAGACTTCACTTGACATACCCTAGGGATCCAGTCGTACATTCGAAGGCACGACTGGACCCTCTACAGCCACCCCAGTCCCACCTTCTGAGGTTCGGTACGACTGGATCCCTCTGGTTTGGTTGAAAAAGGCCCGCTCCTACTTCATGAAGTAGGCGCCGCCATTTCTGTCTTAAGTAAGGGAGCAGCAATAGCGAAGCTCCGTCGCTAGGATGCAGGATAGAGAAGCAAGAAGCACTATATAATAATCATTTGGTTCCCAGATTCTGGTGGAAACGATGATTAAATGGCGCCAGTGGAGGTGGCGCCTGTGGAGGCGGCTAAGGAGGAATGTGGTTTGATTCCAGAAGACATCTTAGATGACCAGGTCATCCACAGATGTGGTTCATTTGATGGGTTGGCATGGTACCTGTACGCCAGTTTTGAGCCCAACCTTTCCGCGGGTACACGATATATTCTTTGCTCTCAGTCCATATTCTCCGCCCCAACGAAATCTCTTCCATTTTCTCTTTCCATGCTTCTTGAGCCTTACTCGGGTCTTGAGCCACATGTTTGAGTCTAGCAAGTGATTTGGGCACAAAAGTTTAGACCCGATGCAAGTGAGCCAAAATCAACCTGCCGAAGGCCGGCAACCAATCTGCGACTGTGACTGTGGGTTGATAGTGCTTCACACTAGCCCCCCAATAGCAAAAATGAATAGAGAATCCTTAGGATGCCACAGGGTTAGAGAATATATGGATGATCTCACTGATTCAAAGAAGTGGTATATCTATCAAGAGTCGACATGGGTACAGCTGGAGACTGCTCCGGGGGCGTCGTGCCAGATCACTCCATGTGTTTTTCTTTTGGCACGCATTGATCAATCAAGAACCATCCCTCCCCAGGAAGCACGTGTGGATCACCTGCGGGTCACCTCGGATTGGTGTCCCCAAGGCCCCAATCCCCCACTGAAGATGAAAAAAGGTTAGCAGTCACTACCAAGGGGTGCGGACTCCATGGAGGGGAGGATAGGGGTGCCCCGAACCTCACATCCACAGCCCCTGGATTCGACGAGCCACACCACACCACACCACCCAACTCGCTCTGTGACTCCTGGTACCTTCTTTTTCCGACGGGACGCGTCTTGCTCAGTCGACCAGCATCCTCCTCTCCACCACCTGACTCGTGCGCCACTCGGTCGGCCGGTGGTCTTCGGTCGCCCACGTGGTCGGCCGGTGGCCCAGCGGCCCAGGACCGCAACTGCATCGATGTCTTTCAACTTCAACTGAGCCGCCCGGCAGAATCCGGCGGATGAGGAGATCTGTGGGGGTGGGGGACTGAGCTGATACTTGGCCTGGAGCTTGAAAGAGTCCACCCCAACACATTTCTTTGCTCAGGGAAGCTTTTGGATGAACAGCAGGCAGCAGAGAGTAGCTTGACAAAACAGGTCATTGGCTCAAACTTAGTTCAAGCCGACATATTCAATCTGGCCATCCTGCAACTACGCCATTCCGTCATTCATCCAATTCGACGCATCTCCACTTGCGAGCCGCGTCGGAAGCGCGACCGGAGTGGCGCCGCTGCATCGAGCCGGCCAAGGCATGAATGGCTCGTTGCTCCTGCTGTTGAACCCACGAACTCGCGCCGGTCCCCCGGAGCTCTCACAGCTCCTGGGACCAGCAAGCTGGATCGGCTTCGCAAGTCAGAGCCTTCCAGGGGGGTGCATAGGAGAAAGAAGCGGAAGACGTTTCAGCTGAGTATCCTCATGGAATTTTTAGGAGATGACCATCTTAAGGGCCAAAAGCAGGCAAGACAGCAGGCATTGCACCCTACTGCACCTCTCCAATTCACATTGGACATATCCCCCTCATTGGACACATCCCCCTTAATTGAACTATGTCAGTATGCCAGGAGTCACATGTCGGGGTGCCGAACTTGGAGCTCACGTCTTCCGGGGCGAAGCAAACCATCCAGGTCCTCCAGAGATGACTCCGCCACGTGTGATGTTTGACTTCACCGACTGAAGCCACCATTTTGGCCCCCTCTCCGTGCTCACCGTGATCACCAGCAGACTTGCTATTCTTTTCCTCTTCTTTTTGTGCCAAAGACGATTGTTTGTAGCTGCTCTCTTTACTCTTTCCGAAATCCTATTGATTGCTTCCAGTTCCAAAATGTTCCAAACCCCATGAAAGTCCATCCCCGGAATTGGCGAAGACTTGAGCCAGGAATTCTCCAGCTTGGCAAGCTGGGACCCATCCGATCTGCCCACCGTGGTTCCACGTCCTTCTTCACTCAGGAGCGCCCTGACGGGCGACGTGACAGGGGACTACGAGGCGCTGCAGCGCCGCGACACGGTGCACAAGGCGGTCCTCAAGCAGGAAGGTGCTCCGGGCGCCGATCTTTGGAGCGGGTCCCGATGGTGTGAAGCTAGAGGGACCTTGACGTGGCCCGTGTGGGTGTTTGGTGGTGGAGGAACCTGGTTTTTTCCGGTGGGTCTTTTCGGCGAGTCGGGCGTGGGAGAACGAAGGAGTGGGAGGGGTGTAAGAACTGTGTTCAGGAGTTAGTAGTTGAAAGTGGAAAGTGGTTCGACTGGATTTCTTCACGGCTTCAAAAGCTTGATTTAAGTCATGGAGACGTATTACAGGGACCGTCCTTCCCTTTCCTCGAGTCCGTTTGCAGGTCGGTGGGTGGATTTCGGACCGTCCTTCCGACCGCACGGAGGTCGGACGTGACCTGAACCCGGACCCGGAAAACAACCAGGCGTAGCGATAGGAGAGGCCTTTTTGCGCTTTTTGGGCCTACTCTCCCTGGAATTCACATGGTTACGTGGAACACCACCTGTTATGTAGTGGCCAATGGTCTTCCTTACGGGGCCAGGCCATCCACGTAACATCACGTAACCATGTTAGTTCCAGGGAGTGTATAGGGTTCTTCAACCTCTGCTGGTACCTGGATCGCAGATCGAAATGGAGATCGCTGAAAGGGGAGATCTGTGACCTTCCGGCGGTGGTTTTCCTCTTGGAGTGAGGTGACTCAGGTTTCGTAGGTGGGATCACATGCAGGTCACCTCTTTGTTTGGGTGGAATTGGGGACACTCCGCACTGAAGATGGTGAACAGATGGAACATGGTTTATAAGCGTTCGTTTCCTAAGGGAATCTGATTGAGGGAGTCGGCAGTGGAAGACGGTTCTTTTTGCGAAAGTTGAGGTCCGCCACTGCCGTTGGAATAGGTTACTCACAAAGTGGTCCATGGCAGCTGCGGGAGGTGCTGGTGAGGTCCATGGTCCGCCTACCCCATCTGCCTACCGTGCTGAACTCACCACGCAGGTTGGCAACTCACGGATGAGCACGAGCTTGGCGTCAGCTTTGAAAATGAGCCACTGGGGCTTGAAGATCCGTGAGAACGCAAGTAAGTGAAAAGAAGTTGCTCTAAGTTTGAGAGGGAGAAACTATGCTGCTTCCTCTTTTAGGAATTTATTCTAGCGCTGCTGCTGTGAGGTAAACGACTGGCCACCGGTCATGGCTTCAGGTTTCCTTGAACACTGCAGAAATCCTGATAGAGTTCATCCTCAAAGATAATTTCCCTCATTGCTCTCACAAGATGTCCTCTTACTCCAAAATAGAGTGTTTCCAGCAGTGCACCCCATCTTCACCGAGTCTATTGCGTATGTTGAACTTGTGTTCCTCTTCTGCCATAGAGGGTTTTTGCTGGAAGTTATGAATAATGCCACGGCCACTTTTCAAGACGTTTTTTCGAGGGCAAAGGCATACTCCACTCGTTTGGCGCTATCCAAGATGGATGCGGACCGCACCTGTCCACGAGCTTTGATTGAAAGGTCCGTGTTATCGTACGGTTACGCCATTAAAATATGTGGAGGGCGGCCCAGGGTTGATC